GCCGGTACATGGCGTCTCCGGGGAGCCCGCAGCCTCGGAGCTAGCGCAGGCCGGGCTGGCGGCTGACGCTCCGGGGAAGAAGGGGAGGGGGACGCCGGGGAGGGGAAAGGAGGGGAGGGGCGGTGACTGTGCTCAGACTCTAGCAGTCGATGCCCGATGGCCGGAGCGCGGATCGCATCGAGCTCTTCCTCCTTTCCTCTTTTTCTCCTTGCCTTGTCACTTAATATTTTTAATCTTTCTCCCCCGCCCCCTTTTGCCCCTATGCCTCTTGTCAGATCAAGAGTCACCTCAGAGAAGTCTCCCTGGTTCCTGTCCCCTTGGGAGTTCTCTCCACACCTGGACTACAAGTGCGCACACCTCCTTAATAACACTTGACACTTTGTTTCATTGAACTGATTCCTTACGAGACTGTGACCTCTCTGGAGAGCTGTGACTTTTGCTCCTGGAACAGCGTCTGGCACACACAAGCCCCTTAGCAGCCATCTCTTGCCATCTCTATTCTTTGTCTCTTTTTAGCTCATAAGTCCCCTTCAACCTCTCTTCCGGAGGTCTAGCTCCACAACACATCAAACATATTGTTATACCCAGGCCTTAAATTAAATATTTTTTTCTGTAAAAAGTTTTTTAAAAAACTTGCACTTGAAAAATTTTAATCCAAAAATAACTCATATAATTTATAGTTAGCCGATTTCTGACATCTGTAGATGATCAGATATTCTCGTGAAATAAATCTAACCTCATTGCTACAAAATGTAAAATGTGTATAATCCTAATTGAACAATTAATGACTGTTAATTTTGAAGATAATTAAACATCCACTCCAATTTTATGATTTTCTTTTTATACTTTGGGATACACACACATTTCTGAAAGATTTTTGAAAGTTTGTTGGCCTTAAGTCTTGGGGCAATATGCCCTGTATATGAAATAATCCTCTCTCTTCTTGCAGGTGGAATATGTATAGAGTTCATAGGCTTGAACTGACAAGCTGTTGTCAGGAGAAAAAACTGTGAACATCTCGAGCTAATAATTGTTTAACTGGAGGAAAAGGTAATGGTAACCACACCTAGTCAGAAGATACCAGGGCTAAATAATTATAAGGTCCTGGAGCTGCTCTCAAAACCCTCAACCCCCAAGAGATCAAGGTATCCTAGAACCCAGAGGGTTCTGGCAACGGAACTTAGAGGTCTCTGGAGTGTCACCTGCAGTTAGAGTTGACAGGAGGTTCTTACTCCAAGGACTTGACAGAGAAAACAGTATAAAGAGGAAAATGTAAAAGACAGCCAGTGGTGATCTTAATATGTGCTTACTTTATCATTCTTTTAAAAACATATATATTTTATGCATTCTTCTGTACCTCTCCTTGGATCATAAGTTTCACAGAAACACAGCGTCATATAGAGAGCAAAAGCCAAGGTCTGGGTGGACTTCCACCAGTTTAGAAGCAGGTAGAGGCCACCCAAAGTATGGTTGCTGTGAAGGTAACAGAGAATAAATGTTCTCCATGCAAGCAGAGTCCCTAAGAGGCAACCTGACCAAGCAGCTAGCAGACACGTTGGTGGGATCTTTACTATCGCCATGAAGCAGGAGACCAGAGCTCCAGTATTTTAGCTGGCTCTGGACTGGGGGCCACAAAAACAAGATGGAGGAAAAGTAAATCACTAGACAGGGAGAAAAGTAGGAAGACAGAAATAGAAAGGAAAAGGAGAAGAAGGAAATGTAAAAAGGAAAATAATTTTTTACTGAAAATAAATCTGCAAACCAAATTTCCAAAGCATATGAAGAAAAATATTTATAAGAAAGACTGGCAACAAAATCAATAATCAAAAAGTGAAATCACCTTAGACAAATGAAAACAGTAGAACAATCTACAGGAAAAGAGGGGAAAAAGAGGCCATTCCCTGGCTGAAAAAAGATGGGTTGATAGAAAACAAAACAAATATGTTTTTTAAAAAACAATAATGAGATACACTATATATCTATTAGAATGGTCAAAATCCAGAATACTGACAATAAAGACAGCACCAAATGCTGATGAGGATATGGAACAACAGGAACTCTCATCCATTGTTGGTGGGAATGCAAAATGGTACAGCTACTTTAGAAGACAGTTTAGTGTTTTCTCATAAAACTAAACATACTTTTCCCATTGATCCAGCAATCATGCTTCTTGATATTTATTTACCCAAAGGAGTTGAAAACTTATGTCCACAAAAAAGCCTTCACATGGATTTTTACAGAAGTTTTATTCATAACTGCCAAAACTTGGAAGCAACCAAGAGGTATCTTAGTAGGTGAATTGATACATAAACTATTGTACAGTCAGATAATGGAATACTATTCAGCAGTAAAAAGAAATGAGCTATAAAGCTATGAAAAGACATGGAGAAAACTTAAACGCATATTACTAAGTTAAAGAAACCAATTTGAGAAGGCTACATGTTGAATGATTCCAACTATATGACATTCTGGAGAAGGCAAAATTACAGAGACAGTAAAAAGATCACTGATTGCCAGGGATTAGAGGAGTAGAGGTAAGGATGAACAGATGGAGCACAGAGGACTTTTAGAGCAGTGAAACTACTCTGTATGATACTATAATGGTGGATACATGTCATTTGGATGATAATGATGTGTCAATGTAAATTCATTAGCTGTAACAAATGTATCACTCCGGTAGGGGATATTATAGTGTAGGAGGCTGTGCATGTGTGTGGGCAGGGAATATGTAAGAAATCTGTACTTTTTGCTCAGTATTGCTATAAACCTAAAATTGCTCTAAAAATAGCTTATTTTTTAAAATGTAGGGTGCAAATGAAATAGTGATGAGTACTAAAGTGAGTTCAAATCACTGGTCTGGTACTAACTGTGTAAAAAAAAAATCAAAACAAAAACAAACCTTGTCATCTTCAGAATGTTTTCATGTCTTTTCATGAATGTCATTTATTGCACAACTTCTAAAGCCCAACTCAGGTCCTGTCTTGCATGGAGATTTCTTTGATCAATATTAGTCCTAAATGTTCTCTCCTCTACCTTATTGCTTATTCTGATTTAAACTGAAAACCATCGAAGGCATAACTTTGTCTTACACATGTTTGTGTCCCTTATATACAAAGCTCAGGACTTGTTTTGTTGTCAGGTGGGTCTGAATTTGGTGATGAGTTCTGAACCTCAGTCTCTTCATCTGTAAATTACAAGTAATAATAACAACATTGAAAGTTTGTTGCAAAGATTAAATTACTTTAGCCTGTAAAAAGATAAAATATAAACTTTGGTAAATAGACTGGTTTATTAGGAGTAGAGATTATAACTGTTTATTCCTCTCTAATAATATTTTCAGTTAAAAAACAAGATGTCAACTAATAAAGTCCCTAGTTCTTTTCCTGCTACATGCGAACTCATCTTCCAGTTTATACTTGTACAGTTTGTCTTCCTCCCCACATCTCTTTCCTTCAACTTGTCAACTTAATTGTTTGGTCACTGCCTCAGTGATTAAAAACAAAATAGAAATTCAATTCCCATCATCTGAAGAGCCAGCCTATCTATGCCTCCCCTGAATTGGGACTGATGGAAAGCTAACAAATAGCCCTGTCTCGAAATGTCAGAATGACCTTTTTAAAGAAAGTAATCAAGTCATATGTGAATGCATTCTCACTCTAGTAATGGGAATTTTAAACTCTTGGAAACTGGGGCCAAACCCTGCAGCGCTTCCATGTCTCATCTCTGCAGATCAACATGGAGCCTGAAACACCGCTCTGTAGCTCTGTCACTGCAGCTGACTGTGTCTCCTGAATTAGTCATGAGGGTCTGATGGGCATCCACACCTCACTGATGAGCAAATTGTCCAGCAGAAGGGATCCAACAAAGTGTCTTTCAGTCAGGTGATTTCTCCTGTGGCCTTAATAACAACTAGCCCCAGACAGATTTGCCTCCTAGGGAAGTGGGAAAGAATTTTTTTAGGTCCAAAAAAGCAAAGAATGAGATAAAAGACTGGTGTAGTCATCTATTTTAGTCTCACAGCTTTAAACAATTTCCAGCTGCAGATGTTAAAATATCCAGATTCCATGGAGAACAGAACAGATGACATTATTCATCCTGCCTATGCTCACAGGCTGCATTTAATTCAGTTCAGCTTATAAAACCTTTTACAGAGTCACTATGGGGACAGGCTTCTACACTGCAGCCATACAAAGATGAACAAGCGCCAGCAAATCCTCAGGAGCTCACAGTTAGCAGAGAAGACAGGTAGAGAGGCCATACATATGGTCGAGCCGGCTCTGTCCTGCGCAAAGGTGCCTGGGAAGTGGGCAGTGGGCTGAAATTCAGCCTGCACTCCTGTTCCCAAGCCATGTATCTGGCTCAGAGGAATGGGTCCCTTTTTCTAGTACATTGAAAGGAGCAATGAGTGCTCCAAGCAACCCTGAGTGGAGGTACAGTCTTAGAACTCATTAATCAATAGGATAAGTGCTATAATGGAGGCAGATATCAATAGCTATGGGAAAAGAGGATGAGCAGGCGAGTGTCTCTAGGGCAAGAGTTAAGGAGAGTGACAGATAGGGAGGGCCTTGGGTGACAGAGAGGGAGCCTTGGAAGAGGAACAGGACTTTGCCTTGTAGAATTGGTGAAAGAAAGGCAAACAAGGCAGAGGAAACGGAGCCAGCAAAGATTCAGAGGCTGACAACGTGAGGCCTGTTTCAACCTGGCTGGTGGAGGTGAGGCCAGCAGGAGGCAGAGCCAGATGGTGCAGGCCTCGTAAACCAAACCGGGAATTCTGGGCTTCGGCTCACAGGCTGGTGTTTCTCAGACTTC